GGGGTTGCACCTTCTGCAGACGAAGCAGTGGGTCTATTTATATCCCCCGACCCACTGGGGGTACCAAAGGAACAGAAGTAGCCTTTTTTTCAGTGCCAAGGGACCAGGAGCAGCCATTTTTCAGGGTCAAGGGACCTGTAGCAGCCCTTTGTTAGGACCAAATGACCAGAAGTAGCCTTTTTTCAGGGCCATGGGCCCAGCAGTAGCCTTATTTCAGGAATAAGAGACCGGTAGAAGAAGCCCCTTTTCAGTCCCCATCTACCAGTAGCAGTCCATTTTCAAGGCCAAGGGACCAGGAGGAACCTTTTTCGGAGCCAATGGATCAGGGTTGCCAAGATACCAGTAGAAGTGGCCATATTTCAGGACTAAGAGACTGCATGCTGCCCCTTTTCAAGGCTAAGAGACAAGAAGAACAGCCCTTTTTCATGAGGTCAGCACAGCATATTGCATGTCTGATGGGAGGCGTCCTTATCTCCACAAGTTGCAAAGAATGTCATTTAGAAGCTGGGGAAGGATTGTCTCCCAGTGTCTTATCAGGACGAGGAGAAATCTCACGACCATTGCATCTTCCCAGTTTGGGAGCAGGTCTCTCAATTTATTGTTAGTTTTTGTTTCTTTCCTGCCTGGCATGTGAATTGCAGTGGGCCTGTTGGTGTGATCCTAACCATCAAACATTTGAAAAGGAAGGCAGACAGTGAAGGATTCATAGGAACCCACAAATCTCTCCCACCGATGACAAAAGCCCCTGGCGCCTCTTACCCCAGTCGTGCAATGTGTTTATTATTAAAACTAGTAAAAGTACCCGTTCTACGAACGGAATAATAATGAAGAAGTATTGGGAAAGTTAAGAAGAGGAAAAAGACTGAAATCTGGAAAGGAACAAAACAAAAACATTTTACGTTGAATTTATCCATGTAGCACCCCCTCTTGATTACTTTTGGGGGTAAGACTTCTTCCCCCTCTTCGAAGGCGTGGCATTTTCTCCTAAAGTCCCGGCTCAATCACTTTTTTTAAAAAGAGTTAGGCCTACATGCCAATTGTTGCTTTCTAGAAGAACATGATCTAGATTCTAGATATAGCCTAGATCTCGATGGATTATAAAGACATAGGCCAAAAATTGAAAGAATGAGCCTTGGCCCATAGATAGATCTAAGTTTAGAAATTCACATTTTTAACAAATGGAAGACGTCACAGATGGCCTAGATTTCTAGATCGAGATCTAATCACAGCAGGAAAAATCCACTTTCAAGAATACTTTCATATTTTTTATCTCGATCTTGATTCACCGACAGCCTAGTTCTAGACTCTAGATCTATTCTCACAGCAGGAAAAAAAATCCACGTTCAATACTTTCATCATTCTTGATCTCGATCTAAGATCCACATACAGATCTAGCCTAGATCTAGAAGAATCTATAATGCACAGCAAGAAAAATGCACTTTCAATATTCAATAGGTTATCGAAATATCACAGATCTAGATTCTACTTTCATTTCATGATTCTTCTTGATCTCGATTTAGATCTCGATTCTAGATTTCGATTCTAGATCTCATTTAGACACTCTGCACAAAATACACTCATCCATGGGCGTGCGCGCTAAATCCACAGCAGGAGAAATCTATTTTCAATACTTTCATGATTTTTTATCTTGATCTAGATTAGATATTAGATCTAGACATAGATCTACACACGAACACATGAACACAAAATGTTCTTCGGCGCAGTTCGGCAGGCGCGATAAATCCACTGCAGGAGAAATCTACTTTCAATACTTTCATGATTTTTTTATCTTGATCTAGATATATTATGATCTAGACATACACTCACATACAACTACACGCAGGGCATAAACCGAGCTACGATAGGCCGAACCTTTGACTTTGACCCATGAATACATTAAGTAGGCCTACAGTAGGCTACTCTTGGCGCTTTCGACGACACCCTCCCGGTCACTCTCACCACCTTCCCTCTGCAGTGCTTTCTGGACTCCTCTATCTCTTCCACTCTCTCTCTCTCTTTCTCTCTCTCTCTCTCTCTCTCTCTCTCTCTCTCTCTCTCTCTCTCTCTCTCTCTCTCTCTCTCTCTCTCTCTCTCCCAAGGTAGGGTAACAAACGAAAAAGTCTCCACTTTGTAACATGTATTACTACTTCTCTAATTCCTCCTCCTCCTCCTCCTCCTCCTCCTGCTTCTTCTTCTTCTTCTTCTTCTTCTTCTTCTTCTTCTTCTTCTTCTTCTTCTTCTTCTTCTTCTTCTTCTTCTTCTTCTTCTTCTTCTTCTTCTTCTTCTTCTTCTTCTTCTTCTTCTTCTTCTTCATTTCTCCTCCTCCTCCATCTACACCTACACTTCCTCCTCCTCCTCTTCCTCCTCCTCCTTCTTCTCCTCCTCCTCCTCCTCCTCCTCCTCCTCCTCCTCCTCCTCCTCCTCCTCCTGCTTCTTCTTCTTCTATGAGCGCCCCAAACCCGCTGTGAGAAGACGGTCAACGGCGTGAGACCGAAACCGGGAATTCCCGTAAACAACTTAATTGTATAACTGAACACAAAATATCCTTCGGCGCAGTCGGCACTCCGCAGTGAATATACAATGTCGAAGCTAATGATGGCGACCGCTACAAAAGGACTGAATTTAACCTAAAATGGGCTTTCTTCTTACACATTTGAACTTAATGAAAATTCAATAGTGCAACACTACGTTTCAAGTTATGGGTACTGGCAAAGTTTCAATTTTGTTTCGTAGTTTCTGAGAATATATATATACTGTTCGCAAAATTTGGCCTTAGCTCCATTAGTAGTAAGAAAACCGATAGACCACTGATTTCCGTGCTACTTAGATACTGAGACGTGAAGTTGGAGCAGCTTCTCCAGTATGCAAGCCGGAGCAGAGTAATTTACTCGTGTGATAATGTGGAGGTGTACAGAAGGTGGGAAGGCATTGAATATATCAAGAGGCTAACTCAGGATATGGAAAGATGGAAAGTGTTTGTTTGTGGCCAATACCCTGAGGCAGGGTGAGTAAGACAGTAAAGACAATATGATAGTGAATATGGACGACGAACGTATAGCCCAAATAGCAGGGTTCCCCTCCCCCAAAAAGTCTTACCCTCTTTTCCACAACACTAAATGATCCAAAGGAACAGTACAACTGATACTGAACAACGATCGACGGGTGTATTAACAGAATACACCTTTGTGGCACGACTCTCAACAGATAAAGATTGCTGTTTGCTATCCCCAGGAAAGACAATCATAGAGTCCTGCTCGGAAAAGATTCATTACCCAATCTGTGTGTGTACCTTTTTAATATTAATGTGTACTTTGCGTGTTTGTTTTGAACAGCATCGGATGGTGCACAATTATGCAGTAGTTTCACCAAGGTAAATACCTCATACTTGCACAGAAAAATGTTGTATTCTCGGACATTCTAGAAAAACGGTACAAATTGTACAAAGGCGTTGGGGCCGTTGCTCCATAAGCACCTCTGTTTTAACAGAATTGAAGACGGATATGAATGTTCTGTTTCTTAAGTCCAAAAAGGGTTAAAGTTATTTATTTGTGTGTTCTGTATGGTTTATATATGTGAATTTATTCGTGACAATATTGAGGTAAGTTCCAATAATTTTGTTTTGATCGTTATGATTACGGTGCTTCTTTTGTGCTTTCCTCGTTTTAGTCACACTTATAGTACTATTTAGGATGCTCGCCATAACTCGATTGGAATGACCTTCACATTGCTTTAAGTTACAATGTAATGAAAAAGTCTCGGCTTGCGGAAGCGGGGGCAGCCGCGGAACGGAACAAATCTACTGGAAAAATGACCTTTACGTACTTGACCATCCGCAGCACCAGTGGGCAAAAGAAGATCACAGATCTTCATCTTTTTAAGACTGGTGATACACTACAGCAGCGTCTGGGATACATTCCTTGGAATGTCCAGAATATGTCCTCTGTTGCAGTCCTCATTAAGTGCGCATCGGAAAAAGAACTGGCTGAACTTATGAAGATCACGAACTTTGGTGGTATTCTTAGTGGATCCGAGCGACGCCAAAAGTTCAACCAATCGAAGGGTGTGGTCCGCAGCCATGAGCTGAAGGACTGCTCCAATGAAGAAATTGTGGCAAACTGCGAGGGTGTGGTCGGAGCCCACCGAATTATTCTTTGCGAGGGGAGACCACGCTTGGAACGAATACGATTATTCTAACTTTCGATTCGTGCCTCCCTCCAGCCACCGTTCGGGCATCATACTTGGTCCTGGACGTGCGACCATATGTGTCAAACCCTCTGCGCTGCTTCCAATGTCAGAATTTTGGCCTTAGCCAGTCGTGATGCCGACACGCAGCCGTGTGTCCTCGCTTTGGCAAGACTGGGCATAATGAAAAGGAAAGCAAGGCTAGTCCTACTGGCTCAAATTGCCACGGCCAGCACACAGCCTTCAGCAAGGATTGCCCGACTTTGATCCAAGAACGCGCAATCTAAGAGTACAAAGCGCGAAATGGCTGCTCTTTTCAAGAAGCCCGCCAGTCGCGAACCCGGTCCCTGGCCGGTCATGTGCGAAGGCAGCCCGGCCAGTCACGAAGTCGGTCAGTACTTGCACTGCCGACCTCTCAGAGCTTGCGGTCAACAAACGAGTTTCTACTCAGAAGTCCCTACTACCCCCCGTGGCACCAACCTTTGAGGTGCTACTCGTCAACCGCTTTGGGGTTCCAGGGGACATCGCACTAGACTCCGTAAAAAATTCCCCTAACACATATTTCCTTATCCTATTTGACTCTCTGTCTTGCATCACTTCATTTATAAACCACACAC